TCCCTCAGTGGACTGACAGGCTTGACAGGTTGAAGATTATTCTCTGAATTCCCTTTAAGGATGCAGTGGGTATGGGGCTGCTTGTGTGTAGTAGGTGGGAAGTAATGAAAGTAATGGGCAAACATTATAGAGGAGTTGCAGAGGTAGTAGTAGATCAATACTGTGCAGGTCCAGCCCAGCAGAACACACTAAACTGCTCCCACCAAGATAGGAAGGAGTGATAGCAACAGCAGCTCACCAAGAACAGGATTTCTGCTCTATTCTGGCATAAAGGTATCGACCTCTTGCCATTTGCAGCCTAAAAAAAAAAAAATCCATCACCTGCACATGGTCACGTTACAGCTTCACAGTGAGCCAGCTCTTGTCCTACATGGCCCTCCTCATTCCTCCAGCATTCTGGAAAATTGATGGTAGATACCTTGCCAAACCTCCAGGGCATCTGGAGAGTTAAAATGGCATCTGCCTGCCCAACAAAACAGAAAAAAAAAATCAAGCTAGGCTACACTCATTTTGTTGGGTATAGTAAGGGAAGTCCAAGCGCTTGCTGCAGACACTTTGGTAATCAAAGACGCTGCTTCCCTGGAGCTTAAGAGACAACTCTGCACCACATAGATAGCACATAGGAGTGACGTCTTCATCAGACAGAAAAGAACCAGCACTGCTTCCCCCTTCCCCTTTTGCATGGTTTTGGGAAGTAGCAGAGATTAGAGTAAGCAAGGAAGACATTGGTCATCTCCAGCGTGTTGCTCTCTGGAGATAGGGGACATCTCCAGATATTTGGTCGTGGAACTAGACATCCCCACGTGGCCCTTTTCTGTCTCCGAGGAGGTACCACTACACGAGTTCTGTGGTACAAGGCACTGCACAAGCAAACTTCGCAACAGGACCCTCAGACATCTTCCCTCGGCTTGCATTTCTACTACCCGCTGCAAACAAATCAGAAGGGGAACAGAAGATAAAACAGGTTAACGAGTTATTGAATTAGGTCATGCCTCTGCCAAGGGACAGGATATTTGGCGTAAACTCAGGAATTTCTAAGTGTACACATTCACGTTGCAAACGAGCAAAAGGTCTGGCTTTGCTTAAAAAGTCGAAAGCAGGCTGTGATAATTGGCTGTGTGATTAAAGCATTTTAACTACATCCTACACTCCAGAAGGCCTCAGGTCAATGTTCTGCAATCTCAGGAGTTCTCAGGGTGCACACTGAAGGTTTTATTTTCAGTATGAAAATACAGATGATTATTCACCATGCGGGCACACACAGAAGGTGAAAACCCTCCTCAGGGAACAGATCCGAGAGGAGCTTGCAAGGATTCTTACAGTCGTAAACAAAATTTGCTACTTAAGAATAGTGGTCCCTCCAACTGAAATGGAACTTGCTATTAAGGTAAATGAATATATTGAAATTAATACCAACATGAGTGCAAAAAATTAGATCTGCAGTTCTGAAGTTAAACTCCAGTAGCAAAACCTGCTTCCCAAAATGGCACATTATAAACACTGAAAGACGCACACTTTTAAACAGAACAAGTATAAGACAAGTGTACAAATCTGTAATAAGTCAAACTTTATTGTAAACCATTATACAATGTAATTACATCAGATACCCTTAAAAGTTTAAGGTAACACCACTGATTAAACAATATGGTCCAAACAGAGGGCAGCAGAATACAGCTGTTGGTTTTGCTCACATAGGCTATACTCTGAATTTACTTACAAACAAACCCAACATTCAGTTTGAGACGGATACCCACGCAAGACAAAAACACCTACAAAAGAGTCCCTTTTTTAAAGATACTGCAGTTTTACTTTGTAAAACCATAGTAGTCATTTTCAGTAATTGAACTGGAAACTTTACCTAAAAAAGTTTGCACGCCTATGCTGTAGATCTACTCTGACTTGATGTGGCTGAATTTATTCGCTTTCATTACTGGTTTCTCCTGTAAAAAGCACAGCAAAGTTGCAAACATGGGTTAGTCAAGCACAGTGGCAGAAATTCCTTGTGACGCTCAGCTCTCAGCAGAGCGTGAGAGCCCAGGCCTCCCCCCCAGGCACGGCTGGAATCGGAGCAGACACCTGCCGGAGGGGATCACCTTGCATTGCTCTAATTTGCAACTCAATTTCTGAGTTTTCCCTGAAGAAAAGCTATAGTACATTTTAGTTAGCAACATTAACATACAGCTTTTACCTACTTAAAATAAGACAAGGGGACCTGAACATATTAAAGCCAGAACTTGAAAACCATGTATTAGACAACACCAGCGTTTGAAGTTTATGCAGATGTGTCACAGGTCGGATACTAGAAACAGTTAATACATTTAGGTTGACCATCCGTGGTAAATTTGATCTCCACCAATACTTCTGTGTCTCTTTTCTAAGTTACAATCCCTTTCTCTTACTTTGGCATATACTACAGAGCTTATTTTCATTAAACAGAATCACATTTTTTTAAGCACAGCCTGAATTAAACCTTTGCTATGAGTTGTCCTGAAGTACATTTACCAGGAATAAATTTAGGGCGCCAATTTGAGGATAATGCAAACATCGTCATGTTGTAATATTATTACTGAATCAACTCTTTGTGAAAAATTTACTTCAGACTGTACTGCCAATACATTTCAACAAACAGTAAGACATAGTGAAGCACTAGGCACATACTTCCTTCTCACACATACAAGCTCTTCACCAAGAGTACCTGTCCTACTTGTACCTACTGCAAGAATTCCATTTTTTATCTTACAAAGAGGAAAACTGCCAATTTTATATTTTCCATCTCTTTCACATGATAACAAAGAAAGAATAGAAAAAAACCCCGGTTTTTGTTATGTGGCTGAGGTTGTGAATAAAATTTTTATCTTAGTAGAGAAAGTTAGAGCTGTTTTTTCCCCTCTGAAGATATGTTCCTCCTGTTACTACTGTGGTATTTAAAATACTTCTGTCTCTTTGGCTCATAGTGCTTTACTACATCATCTTGCTAGGCATATCAAAAATCTCAAACCAAGTGACATTTAAACACTTAAGACATGAAAAATTAGGCATTCGTATACCTCTGCTATAACCACCTTCAAGAAACTGCTCCATAGTGCTTTACACTGTTTTGTACTTGGTCAGTAAGTTTGAGGTCTGCTCAAAACAAATATTTTTACATGATTAAGGCCATAATTTTATACTGACACTTCACAGACTAAACATGAGACTAGAAATAGAAATAATTTTGATAATTTACGTAACTGGAGAAGAGGAGGGAGAAGGAAGATAAAATGAAAGCTCGTACAGTTAAATTTGTGTGCGCTGCTCAGTTATCTCTGGTGGTTGACGAGGACAGCGATGGCTGTGCAGTGGTATGTAGCACATGTTGAATAGCTTTATTTCACTATCTGAAATAGAACAAATCCTATGCTAAAAAAAATAAATGCTGACATTTGCGACAAGAGCCAGTCCTAGCTCTTAAATCCCTTTGGAAAAAAGAGAGCTGTATGAGACTATTCTGTTTATGAAAATGAATTCCTTGAAGTACTGTGCTTTTGGAGATAGGCACCCGCCCAGTGGTAAATAGTCAAGAGAAGATGCAAGTCACACAATAATGAAAAAAACCAAAAAATCTAAAACAGAGGCAACACTGATTAGGGACATTTCCCCATCCCCCCACACCCCCCATTTCAGAATAACTCAGTTAAGCTTCCATTGTCATTAGTTTCTAGATTTAGTCTAAAAGAAACACTAGTACTTAAACTTATTGCAGTTATTACATTTCAGTGCACAGTAACAGAGGTCAGCAGCTCAACTAAACTCGCAAACATTAGGTTTGGTAAAATGTCCCTTCTAGCTGGCTGGACACGCTGAGGTGTACCTGAAGTCTCAGAACATTGTGTTCACCTCGGCAGCCAAGCAGTGAAAAGGAATGCTGGAATAGTGAAAATAAGTACGGGAGCGCACAGTTCAGTATTTACTAAGGCCCAAGAACCCCATTTAAGTGGTCTGGGTAATAAATCACATTAAGACCTACTAAATCTATAAAAAAATGTAAAAAATCTTAAAAAGTTCTGAGCAGTTTTCCAGTGAAACTGTTTGGTTTAAGGCTTGGAACATTTCTGATGTCCAGATACTACAACAGATTTGCAATTAAGGTCTGTTGTCACCTCTTTGACACATCGCCTTGTCCTGCACAAGGTTTAACTAAGCAAGGAAAGCTGTCGGAAACAATCATTTAGAAAAAACGCAAAGCAAAAGGATGCCACTGAAAACATGCCTGCTAGGTTTCAGATCAGCACGCGTTGTCAATTATCAGAAGACAAGACACTGAAAAATCACAAAAATTCTGCAGTAACAACTGTATTATACCTCTTGTTTGTTTGGGTTTTTTTAAATACTAAAGGATAACCAGACTTTATGGAAATTAAACAGGAGAAATCTTTTTTTTTTTTTTAAAGCACATTACATAGAAGATTGGTTTTCCAACAAAAAACAGGGGGCAGAATTATTTGCTATATTGTAGCACAACTGCTTCCATCAGACCACAGTCCCGTACCACAGGCCCTATATAAGGAAAAGTATAAGAAATGTTCCATCTCTTTTGGGTTATTTGAGAGGTATGCACAAGAGACTTGCAGAAACAGAAATAGAGTCATCCATAGATACTCATTTCACAAATAACCTATCACAACAGATTTTTGTTATACACTAAAGTGCACGTTTGTCAAATATGCAAACACCACCTCCTATTAAAAATGGTATTTTCAAATTACGTGGTCAAAAGCACACTTAGGACTGCATTTTTAGTGATATTTGGTGACTTCAGCAGTGACAGAGAGCTCTTCCCTTTGCAATCCCTTTGTCTTAAACCAGGACACAAGGATAAATAAGATTTTCACCACAAATCTTTTGACCTGTTCTGCACAAAAAAAAGGGAACTGCACCCTTTTCTCTGACAAAGAGAATCTTTAAATACAACTGTATGAAAATATAACTTAAATATAAAATAGTCAAATAGATTCGAGGAGACTTGGAAAAAAATCTTTGTTCCACCTATTAGTTCCATAGGTACCTGGTAGCAAGTAAACATTTGTACTTAAAAAAATAACGTTAAGTTACAGTTTGTAACCATAAACTATTCTGCTCTAGGAATTATGCCGCAAAAGCCAGTTTTAGTCATAGAACACACTCCTTTAGCTTAGTTGATTCTGATGCCTTTTTGAGAACAGCTTAAACTGTATCATCAGTAACCGTAAGTGGAAGATTGCTGTATCTGTTTTCTATGATCTTCTCTGAAACGTCAGATACGAATCCCCTTAGCGACTAGTCCTTAACAACACTGTTTTTCACACGTGATGAAAAGACATTCTTGCATAATTGGTCAGTGTGTCTGTAGTGCAACTGAACTGGAAGTCTTCCAACCATCTGCATTCTGTTGGTAGACCTTGCTTTTAAGTCAGTTTGTATGAAAAGGGAGATGCAATTGCAACATTAAAACCCATTGACTGAAGTTTTTGCCATGAAACCTGCAAATACACAGGTCAGGGAATGTGTCATACAGGCAGACCAAAACGATGCTTCTTTTTCTTAATGGGCTTTAAGTTGGTCAGTCTACGCAGGTCCTCTTCAGCATCCGATTCCTCCATCTCATCATCTGCTGAAATAAGGATCTAAAAACAAAGTACAGCTTCTGAGTAACATG